CTAGTGCAAATATATAATACAAAGTCAAACTTTTCATCGATTTAATGCATGGATTTGGAGCATAGCATAGTAATTTTAATATAGCCGGCATTTTCTTTTTCAGTAAAATGAGGATAACGATTATTTATTTCGTATGATTTGCAATCTTCGGTTGGTTATTGTCCAATTTCAGACCAGGAAGAGTCCTAGTTCTAACCCGGCTGCAATTGAGTACTGAACTGAATGTGTTATCCCTTCTGCCATGGCTCCACCTTCTGTAAACGGCGATGGAGAGCACTCAAAGTGACTGCAACATTAACAGGTTTGTCCTCTCTCGTTGAATTTGATGCAGGAAATACAGGTTGACCTTGGCACTGCTGTCTACAGTCCTCGAATGTGATTGCATTGCGCAAAACATTCAGTTATCTAGCAGCATTACCAAAACTTCAAGTGGAGAATGTGAAGTCAGTTTTAGCTTTCTAATTCTGAGCATTGAAATTTCCTATTGTACAATAAAGGAATCGCAATAAACGTTACATTCAGGCGAGTTTCTCGAAGTTTATCTGACCCAATTGCGAAAATCTTGTCAGCCTCGGCGGGGTTCGAGCCTAAGAAGCAATGGCAAGGCTTGAATAGTCAAGTTTTTAAATTGTTTTTGTGCATCAGGATAGTTAAACGGGCGACGGAGATTACAGTTGCTGTAGTCTTGTTCACTTTACTTAAAGGTATCTGCCTCTGAACTCCCCATTTGTTATTAGTGCAAAAATAATAACATGTAGAACATTATCAAACTACAAATTTGCTAATGAGTACGTGGTTGAACACATATAGCGGGGATGTTAAAAGCGCCTTACCGAAACATAATAAGCAGTATACAAGAGCACATGAACCACCAATCAGAATGCGCTGGACTACGCATTGCCTTGCGTTGGGGTATTTAACAAATTATAAACCGAAATATTGCTACTAGAATACAGTGAGTACCGTGTTCAGTAGCTTTCAACTTTCGGGGAGGATGATAATAGAAGCGAATCGTGTTAGGTTCTGATACTGTGATAGTGAGCATCCCTGTTCTGATTAAGCTTCCACTTAAAATTGTCTACAGACAGGAACATGACGACACTCGCAGGCAGAGCATTCAATGCCCCAATCACCTTGTTGGAAAGGGAAACCTCCTTGCATCCAGTCTTGTCCCAGTCATAGGAAGTTTGAGAGGGTGCCCTCGCCAGCTAACAGGGGTAGCCACACTGAAAAAGTCCGCCGTAAACTAGGCACGATTCATAAGCCCGCAATATGCGAAACGCCTGCATTCAGTCATTTTGAAGCTGTCTTTAAGTTTAATGGAAGAAGTCGGCATTGGACAGTCGTTTTCCGTGAGGCTTTAGCCGCGGACTAGTCTGATTGCATGCTGTCGAACATTTTAAAAGTGCTGCGGTCGCTTAAAATTCAGTCTCCAAACTTGAATACCAAGGGCTAATCGTTGTCGTGTGGACGTCCCAAAGGCGTTCTCGGAATACTTTTCGTCCAAAGCCGATGTTTCTGATTAGCCCAAACATTGCAGACTAAACCCAAACTCATCCATTTCAGATTATGCCCTTCTGCGAAATTTATTTTTCGCTAAAATTACTCGTTACAGAAGTTACAGAGGAAGGTTACGAGGATCTTTTAACTTATGCTTAACAGCCTGAAAATCACGCCGGGAAACTCTTCATTGACATTCACATTTTCACATTTAAGGTCTGGTTTCATGAACCTCGTCAGTCCTCGGCAATTCTTGTAAGACGCAGCTGATGCCCCCACGTAACCCCATAATAAGTTGACGCGAAGGCGTATTCTTTAAATAACCTCCGCGAAGTTCAACATAAATTCGCAAACCAACACTGTGTTAGTTACATTTCGATCATAGGTTAAAATTAATTATATGCCCCCTCTCTCCTCCGACATGACAGGGAATCATCAAAGTCCTCTGCCTAACACAGGTAACCCGGCGTTTAATTCTGTGAAGGGTAAGCACTTCCGTATTCCAACCCGAATATAACACCCACCGCAAACTAACTGTAAACCTTGCCTTAGCCCTTACATATATTTCTCTGGAATTTAACGCAAAGACACCTGTATTACGAGTGGTCCTTCTCCCAGTTTCCTTCATAGATGACATAGATAAGTGTTCCCTACGCAGTCATTCGCTTGTGCAGAGTCGTAACGCATGGTTTGAAGGTAAAACACTAAGTGCAATTTATATGCAGCATCCGTGGTCCCCCACGCTTAACTGCTGCAGTAGAAAATAATAATCTGTTAAGAGTTAGTTGAATAAAACGACGCAATCTAATATTTTTTACAAAAAGTAAATGATTTCCCATAATGTACCTTAACTTCTCTATAACCATTTTATTTTGCCTCTATTTAGTAACCTTTATCGAAGCAAAACCGTAGTTTAAACCCAGGCTCCCTGGTTATTAGGCAATGGTTCTAGTCATGATCATATAAGATACGCATCTAGTAGTTCACGAAGAAACAGGGATTGATCGGAATGCCTTGAAAGGATGTTACCGGCGCCCTCAGCTTATAGCAAACGTTCCTAACCCCCTAGAGAACAGCAGATGTAACGTAAGATCTTATCAGATTGCGTCAGTCAGCCAGTCAACACGACGACTGGGTTGTAAGCAAACAAGTCATGAAACCTCCTCTCCTATGCACTGGCGTAACACACCAACCAATCAGAATGTGTCAACTGGATAAAGTCGCTAGTTCAGCGTTTTGGCTGCCGCATAAGCAGTCATTGGCAAATCTAAGTTAACGCCTCCTAATCTTCCTATTCGGCTTCTGCAGTATAAGAGGATATATCTTTCACCATTTTCCTTGCCCTACCTTCATCTTTGAGCATTAAAACTGGAACCTACGCACTGGATCAAGTCTTCTTATAGTCAGTTGTCCAGTCTAGCCTTGTCCCTGGAGCGCACTGACGTAGGTTCTGCAAATTAACTATATATCTTCATTGCACCTCCGTAGCATACGTGTGTGAAACGTGTGCGATCGCAAACCTAGGAGATTTTAGATAAGTTCTTCGAATCCTCTAATTCTCCCTCCTGGCTTCAGGCGAACGAAATACCGTGTGCCTCAGATATTGGCACCGCGCGGAGTATTTATGTCACAAGTGTAAATAACCCGAATCCTGGACCGCAATTAACTATGTGCATTTTGATATGCTGACCCTGCTAAGGCATATCCCAAGAAAGAGCGATGGACTCTCGACCTCTCTGTACACGTCTCTAGGAACAGTATTTAAATCCGCAAAAAAGAATTTATATGCAGTGCGCGTTTGCCTCTTTCAGCTGATTAAACAATCCAAAGTTGTCATGTAAGTGGGTGATCTGAGGTGCTCACGATTACAGACAGACAGATCTGCTTGGTCCCCGTGAGCAGCCTTTAGCACTTCCCTCGGTTGCTGCACTTAAAGCATAGGTTTAAATGTAAGGGATTAATGCGGTGACTGTCAAATTTTTTCCTATGTTGATGTACGGTTTGCGTGCCTTCGGTCGTTGCTCGCTGAACGGCCCTGCGGAAGAAATGGTCTACCAACGAAATCTAAGGCAGCGTACACTCCATCGTAAGAAGACAGAGAGCATTTCGAATACGATCATACTGGGGGAGACTGACCCTGCCTGAAGAGACTAACTGTCCCAGGAGCTGAGTGATTTGGTTTTAGTTAAGATGTACATCGAGCAGAAACAGACACGTTCCGGAATAACACGAAACATGCCAGGATCGAAGGTCTGCTAGAGAGTCGTGCTTTATTAAAAATTTCTTCAACAGAAACTGCCGTCCTTGCCAATTTAGGTAATAAAAAATGCTCATTTACTTGCCTATTTTAATTTCCCAAGACAAAATTTAATCCCCGACGGCTGTCCTTTTATTATTGTTCTTGGAGACGGTATCGAGGTCGAACTGTTGTATGCCATTCTGTGTCGCCTAATAGGCCTAATTACGGCGGGCGACTTCTCTAATGACTAATCCACAGTACTATGCCCCTCACTTGCCGCAAATAAAGTCGTCAGTGGACCTGTTGCTGATCTCCATTACCACGTCATGGAACGTATTTGTTTGACATCTTGTTGCGTCGAAGTTGTGCATTTTTATTGCGAACACTCCCCAAAGTGCTAACCGACTGCCCCACGAACCCGCACGCCCTTTTGAGCACCCACTGTCAATCTTGCATTGTGTAATGCAACTTGCAGCTTGGACAAAAGACCCCTGAACTTCCTCAGAGAGAGAAACTAAGGCAGTCGATGGCATAGTCCCTCTCGCCTACATGGCTTAGCACCGCAAGCACAAGTCTTGACCTTGCCAAAGGTTAATACCTCCTCGTACAACATGCATCTCTCATTCTGGTAATTTTCATTTCCTTTTACTGTTTCGAGGCTTGACCAGGTTACTGCACTCCTTAGGTTTCATACACTGTCTTAACTGCAATAAACCGTGACCGCTAAGAGCCTCCAGGCAGGTCCCGATCTTGACGATAAAAATACCAGCAGAATTACATTTAATAGTCCATGCAGGAAGGCGACGGTGGGAAATTGGAGACTGCGCGCCCGTCAAGTGTGCTAGTAGCGAATATATGCGAGATCACCCCCTGTCAGGTAAGTCAGAACAATGAGTACGTTTGCACTGCACGTTATTAGGTCACAGTAGTCAACTTTCTTCATTCAATCCTGAATTAAATATTACAAATTTGTTGCTTTTTCATAATTGATAAATTTCTTTAAGTCTTATCAGGGAAGCATTCATTTTATTTTAGAAATAACAAAAACAGGATAGATACAGCAATATCGTGTAGATAATTCACCGACAAAAGGGTGAGATGTCTGGAACCCTCAATTTTTTTAATTCGTCGTGTGCTTTTATAATCAGATAGACAGTGTATCGTTCAACTTTTGAAAAAAAATACTTCTATACAATCCAGTAAAATTTTAAGAATATTTGCAAGTAAATTTGGAAGGGACAGTTGCAGAAATTTATGCATTTCAAATTGTCCCGATTCTGTGAACAAAAATGGAGTGCGTTGTTTCAACCGTGTACCGAGTCCCCGTGGGTTTAAAAAATTCGTCTCGTTTGCCGATGCCTCTGTGTACCGGGCCTTGACCGACATCTCCACCAACAGCATCTTCTTGCAAATCACCACACTCGTAATCATTTGACACAAGTTCCAAACGTCGATCTACTAGACGGAAACTTACGCTATCATCTAAGTTATTAAGCAGTTGGTTGGGAACACGTTCAGTAGCCAGCAGCGTCAGTTTAATCAGGCCGGCCTTTCGAGCGTCCGCGAAGTTAAACCAAGCTTTCGAATCTGGAGATGTACATGGTCCGCGGAGCGGGGAAGCTTGAGAGTTTGAAAAATTGCAAGCGACTCGGCCCTGACGCCAGTCTAAAAGGCCGGCACGCAGTGCCTCAAACGGATGCAGCCAAGTCGAGTAGTCACTGTTCTTTGCCAGTATTCCACTTACACTGTAATTTCTATGGCTTTCCTGTCTAATATGTAAATTCAAGGTTCCGCACTTATTGACGGGTTCTATCAAGGCTAACCCCCTTCCAACTGCTTCTTCAATCGTCAGCCATTTGGAATTTCTGGTTTCCCATATCCAGACGGCGCCATTTAGCTTAATTAAGCGTCCCTTCTCCCTCGCTCTCTCCAGTGGAAGCCACTGTTCCTGTTGAAGATCGATCACGTGTGTTAACCTCACACTGTACCATCCAAAGGATCTGCGTTCTATTACCTTCAATGGGGAATCCGTCATTGCAAGTCTTCTGCCTTCTCTGCTGTCCATAACTTTAAGCCTACTCTCAAGGATAGCCTTGTAGATGGGAATACCACTATCCGTGCTGGGGTCGGCATATTCATACTCACCATTCTTCGTCCTTATCCAGCTACGTTCCAGGGCCCTTTTAAAGGATGCATATTTGCCCGTCAGGGGACTCTGAACTTCAGTGATATCAACTAACTGGTCAAACTCCTCCCGCATTTCGTACTCGACCAAACGTATACGTAGATGTATCAGGTCGTCAGTTGCAGAACTAAAATGAAGGAAGATCAGATAAGCAGAAGGAAGTCTAGGTTGATGAACATTGCCGACGAAGACAAAGGAGACTGGAATGGTCACTTCTGGCTCATTAGCGATCATCAGCTGGTCATAACCAACCCAAAGTGATGCCCCATCCGGGGCTCGAACCCGCGACCTTTTGATCGGAATTTCAATTTTCTAGCCTCAGCGCTTAAACTAAACGAAATACTCTGCCTTAACTACTGGCCGATATGCTGTTGCTAGCGAAGCTCAAGAATAAGTTCCCTTTGAGATCGGTGAACGTTCATCAAAGAATTTAAGGCTGTTCGAGGGTGTGTTAGGTGCTTGCGGCAGCATGTATTTACTGGCACCAAACAAATGTATGAATGCGTGTTAGGGAAATAAATAAATATCCACAAAAAAATAATTAATAGGGGTTATTTCGTATATTTGAATAAGTCATTTGACACAATTTGGAAAACTCAATGACCTCGGTGGGATTGGAACTCATAGTCACCGAGTTTTTCACAAGTGTGCCAAAGGAATTATTTAACTGTGGCAAAAACACATGATTTAAGTGAGCCAGGTTAGAATCTCGTGGATTTTAGATCACTTTCTTGAGAATCTTTTACTTTGCAGTCAGATTACTGTATCAGCATTAGTGGGTTCCATACGCTGCAATAACCTGAGCGGGTAACTGGGTCCAAGTGTGATGAAAGCCACGCTTCCTGATAGTTGAGGTGCTCAGAATGTTGGCTGTACTCAATTGTTGATGATTCTGTCGTGGATTTGATTCCCAATTACAAAAACTTTGGTCAAATAAACAAAATATTTATTTTCGGCTTATACTGACCTGTCAGTCCTCCGAAATTGTGACTGCTGTTTTGCATATTGCTTTACAACATCTGAGCTCGCTGGCTGGACGAATTAACTAATATTTAGTTGTCTATGAAGCGGATTGAAGCTATTTTTTACATCGCACCCTCTCGTAAGGTATTAAAATATGTTTTAGACTTTCCTTGTAAGCAAAATTACAACTTTCCCTTGAGTACTAGGAAGAAATTATATGGGAATCATAAATATTTGCAATGGATAGGAGACATGTTGTAAGAGAGAGATGATGATATATGAACGCGGCTTTATATCACGTTTACCGCTGCGCCCGATCCCAGCAACATATGGCTGGTAGGCTCAGACACCTTGCTAATGCAAAGGGAAGGATATAGTGATTGAGGTCCACACTGATTAATCCATCCTCACGGCATATTAGCATCCTTAGCTGTAAACTGGCATAAAAAACATATTATTATATACAGTAATCGCCGGTTATTAAGCCCACGGTTAATAGGCCCAGCCGCGTA